AAAAATTCAGTCAAAACCGGGTCAAACCCAAGTTTTACAACTGATTTTTCCAACAGCCTCGAGAGGCTTCCCTGATCGAATAATTAACTCTATATATGTAGGCTTCAAACCAATTTTTGTTCTGTTTTTCGAATTAAACTTTCAAGTTAGTTTGAGTGTTCATCTTTTAAGCTTAGCTTGCTTTTTTATTTAGTCTCTTTTGGGTTTATGGGAAAATTGGTTTCCTTCTCTCTGTTTTTCTTTCCCATGAATGATGTTTATTTTGGAAATTATAACTCAGATATCTGTACACAAACAAGATTGTCTGTACACAAACATATGAACCAAACAAATTTCATGCAATCTTCTGTTAAAAGATAAATATTAAGATAGTTGGCTAGTTTAAGTTACTTGTAAGAGAATATCTTAGTTTTGTTACGCACATTATCTAAAGCCTCATCAAGTCGTTCTGACAATAACGTTACAGTTCAGCATCTCAAATGATGTTACATGAGATTCTTTAGAGGAAACGGTGACAATAATGTCCTGACAATAACGACTCGATAAAGATAAGACGATCTCCATCACGGATTATTGATTGGATTATTGGTTGGCGAGTTGAGTTGCCTTTGTTGGAGTATTGAGTTTAGTTATTAACGAGCAAATTTAACATCCATACCACCAAAGAAGAGAAAGAATGTGGGGAAGGTGGGACTGAGTTCCGAGACACAACTTGTCTCGGCTACCACCGATGAACTTACTCGAGAGCTTCCACCAATGGAAAAATTGGACTTCTCTAGTGTCGCACCTTTCAAGATTTTAAGCGGCATCGAGTGTCTCATCTATGAACTTCTCCAAGCATCGCAGGGTTTGCCTCCAATGGTTTTGGATTTCGAGCTCTACTTGGAGCTTGAGACCAATGAAGATGTCAAGAAGTACCTTCGAGTTCTTCAATTGGTAAAATATTCAAAGATGAAGTACAATGCATACACTAACTTGACATTGGAGTTCTTTACTGGAAGGAAAAATTTGGTGTGTACCGATTTAACGATTCTATTTTTCGTAAGTAAAATACTTAGAAAATTCTCAAATCCGTTTTAAGGTGAATGAGAAATTAAATCTAAGTGTTATATTTTAATTAATTGAGTTTAAATAACTCAAAAGATTGTAGGGTTCACAAATATTATATTTTAATAAATTTTTGGACAAACTAAACGAGCCATAAATATGCATTAAGTATGCTAGAATTGTAGAAGAGATCGTTGGGGACAAGTAGGAAAAAACGGAATTCGATTCCAAGTTCGTATGAGCTCGTACGAACCCGCGGCGCACGGGCGTGCAACTGGCTGCGGAAATCAAAGGGTCATAACCCTTGGTGACCATAAGGTATCTTTTGGCCACTAGATGCATCCGTTCTTGTTCGGGCACGTCCCAAAAGGTGTCTTTTGACACTTAAACCTCTTGAGGTGTCTCCCTACATCTATAAATACCCACTAACATGAAATCATTCTATACATCAAATTATTCCATAACTTTTGCATCCTTTTTACAAAGTTCATATTTATATTGTGTTCTTTGTGTTATTTTCTACCTTGAGAGTTCAAAACATAAGTATTGTTCACCGAAGGTTTGTCAATTCACTACAAAAAAATACTACAATTCCAACGAAAAATTCCAACGGCAAAAATTTCCGTTGAAAATTCCAATGAATATTCCAACAAACTTAATTTTATGTTGGAATAAGTGTTAGATAGTTGAGGAATTCCAACGGATTTTTTCTGGTGGAATAGCTGTAGGAATTTATTTACATAGGATTTTCCGTTAGATATTGTTATTCCAACGACCGTTTTTCCAACGGATTTTTATACGTAGGAATATCCGTTGGAATAACCATTCCAACAGAAATATAAAAAATTCAAACGGAAAATTTCCGTTGGAATGTAAGAGTTTTTTTTGTAGTGATTAAAGTTACCGCTATACACAAATCATAATGTCGTTGTATCTTAGAGGCGTTAGTCGTGAGCCGTGGGTAATATACAGGGCTATTTCGTCTTAAGGAAAGCGTATCTTACGTGCTTCGACTTTGTTTGTTTTACCAAAATTCATTCTCTTTCTTAAAGTCATTTTCTTGAAATTCACATACCAACAATTAAACTACATTTACGTTCAACTTATTGAGGATCGTTGGGTTTCCACTTGTCGACTTGGATGGGAGCCCCGGCGGCTCGATACCGATTTGATGAAAAGGGTGTTCACTTTTACAAACATGGGGCCGGTGAACCATGGGACGAGTTTAATGAAAAGTAAGGAAGATAATGGTTTAATTACCTTGAAAATAAAACTGAAGATGTACAAGGGATGTAAATACAAAGAATAATCTTTCTTGTTAGCCAAGAAAAGATCCTTACTGATCTAAACTACCTAAAATAAAAGATACAGAAGATACTAAAATATATTTACAACTAAGAATGAGATATTATCCCGAATACTCCCCCTCAAGTTGGAGCATGAAGATCTCGAATGCCCAACTTGCATAGGAGAAAGTAAAAACGATCGCGTCCAATAGCTTTGGTGAAAATGTCGGCTAGCTGAAGACGAGTGGGAATGTATGAGATGAGTAGTTCTCCAGATTGGATGCGTTCCCGAACAAAGTGACAGTTGATCTCGATATGTTTTGTTCGCTCGTGGTGAACTGGGTTAGCTGATATGTGGATGGCTGATTGGTTGTCGCAGTGCAAACGGATGGGGCCAGAAAGTGTGACTCTGAGTGAGGAAAGTAGGCTACAAAGCCACAGAAGTTCACTCGTGGTGACAGCCATGGAACGGTATTCGGCCTCCGCAGATGATCGGGAAACGGTAGTTTGTTTCTTAGTGCGCCAAGAGACCGGACAACCGCCAAAGGTGATGAAATAGCCGGTTGTGGAGCGCCGCGTGACTGGACAACTGGCCCAGTCAGAGTCACAGTAACCAACTAACTCTAATGAAGTTGGTCTTCGAAGAAAGATACCTTGGTCCGGACTATACTTTAAGTAACGTAGTATGCGCGTGGCGGCATCCCAATGACTCTCACGCGGCTGCTGCATGAACTGTGCAAGGAGGTGAACAGAATAGCATAACTCGGGACGAGTAATGGTCAAGTAGAGGAGACGACCAATGAGACGACGAAAACGTGCCGGATCCGTGAGGAATGGGGCCGTGGAGTCGGCCAAGTGGGTCCGCTGCTCCATAGAAAATGTGGCTGGTTTCGCTGCTGTGAGGCCACAATCGGATAATAATGATTGTAGTTAAATTAATTAAGTACTAAAATAATAACGATTAAATATTATTTAGGCTAACGAATGAGATGATGATTTTAAACTATGAAATTAAACTAAGCTGATCTATCTAGAACAATAAAAATAAATCAAGATATAAAAGATAGATTCTAGGCTATGCGTTCCTCGGAATTAATTCATGAAACGTTTATATTCAAACAAACCTTATTTAATTTTACCAATCGTAGAGATAATCGCTAAATTGCTTTCAACTTTTCTCTCGAACAAGCAAATCGTAGATATTAACTGTTATCTATCTCCTCTCGGTCTCAAGATGAACAACTAACTCCCATAAGTTCCTAAAATTTTCGTTCTCTCGTAAGATTCTATCAACCTCTCGGCTGTTTAGTCTCCTACGTTATAAATTTCTCAATTCTAGCAATCAATTATCTCCTCTCGGTCTCAAATCGATCACAAATATGCATTCATAGTGGTCATCTACTCACACAATAAATATACGCAAAAGAAATTCATAAACAAAAGATAAACTGGAATGAAGTAAATAAAAACTAAATCATAAATCAATCTGAGTACTAACAAATCCTAGAATCTAAATAAATCTAGCCTAGAAACATGCTTTCAAAATAAATATAAAACATTGAGTTCGAAAGAAGAAAAGAAAAAGAAAGAAAAAGCTTATTTGGCTCTGTCGATCCCTTCTTTCCGAGCTTTCTCCCTCGTCTTGCTCGTGTTTCTAGCTTCCAAAGCTCTCCAAAGATCTAAAAATTAGGTCCCAGACTCTCAAAAACGTGCCCAACTGTTACTTATATAGTTAAGGTCGAGTCCTAGTCGAAATAGGTCAAAAAAATCCCTAAAAATCGGAAAAGCACGTATTGGTCGCGCCCAGGGTCACATGACTCGTGTAGCCTAATGCCGAGAGATCCATTCACGACCCGTCGAACGACACGACTCGTGTCTCGGTCTCACACGACCCGTGTGAAACTGAGAGTTCAATACAGCACGAAACTTCATTTTGGCCGTGGCTTTCGTCTCCTGGTATGCTCTA